TTTTTCCAAGAAATTTTACACATATCTTCTTAATATTTACGATATGTCAAGAAGTCTTTGAAAAACCACCAAAACATCAGTTTAAATTAATTACTTGTTAATTTCACTAGCATATATTCAAAGGAAGATATTTCGTGTAAGTGTAATTTTTGTTAATAAATAAAATTTTAAAGAATTTACAACTCATTGTAGAAAAGTCGTTGTTGCAATGAAAATTACATTTTACAAACAGTTTATAAGTGTTAAACAACTCGTGTTACAGAATTGAAAGTAAAATAAAATTATTTCAAATAACAGTGCCCTGTGATGACCAATTGTATTTTGATTTTAAAAAATGAATGATTTTTTTTTTGACCCCGAAGTGAATTCCGTTGCTCCGATACATTTAATATTCAGATAAATTTAATGTGGGTACTTATAGTCATATGTCACCACGGTGCTACTGACTTAGCATTGTTGCTCGTAGCTGCAACTTATCAGAGAAGTTAATACCTAACAAATGTTAATCTCGTGTGAATTCTCTTAAGGCGAGTCACCGGAGGAGAAGCGGGAAAAACTGTTTTGCTACTTCAAATGGTTTAGGTATTTACTACTAAATATTATTGTCTAAAGAATATGCTAATGTTTTACATAATAGGATGTACTTTATTCGAAAAACAAAACAAGTTAAAATGAAATTCTAAAACAAACTACGTAAGAATAAAACATCTAAGTTTGTACAGAATTGTTATATGGAGATATTTGTCTTTGAGTATTACAGAGAACCTGCTAAATTTTGATTTTCTACTGAAGCCTTATTAGTTATTAAATTCATATTTATCTCAAAATTTGCAAATCGTTCAGCGGCTTAAGTACATGCCGCGCCACCCGCTGCCCGTTAGTCGCCATCGGGCGCTTGTCGACGTAGGATTTATGTCAAATTTTCTCCACCTGTCATAATTTTATTCATATTGATTTACAGCGCGCGAATTATGGAATACCTCGCCTTAAGTGATTTCTGTCATATTTGTAGGCCCTAAAGTTTGTTTATGTTATTAAATTGACAACTGCGATAGCCCAACGGCTTGCAACGTGGACGCAGGATGATTCCCGGTAGGATCAATTTGGGAAATCAAATTTTCTAAATTGCTTCTGGTCAGGGATCTACTCTCGAAATGCAAACTCAATAGTTACTGCCGTTTTCCCACTATAGATGACTTATTGGACTACTCTAGGAACTGTCAAATCCCATTGTCATACATTCCTAGTCCCGCCCCGATCAAAACTCAAATCTGTAGGTCATCCATAGTGGCCATAGTAGTGGTAGAAAAGGGCCGTAACTACGTATTTCGGCGTCGAGAGTAGGGCCCCTATTCTGAGTAGTGATCCGGAGTGAATTCCATTGCTCTGGCACTCATAGTACCGGGAATTCCCCTGGTACTCATAGAATTAATAAGTGTGGTTGTCTGAAACATTCTTGCCATATATTATTCTTGACTAGCTGAAATATATATATTATATATATTTTCTAACAAACCGACACGTTGGTTTGTTAGAAAAAACAAATATAAGCGATTTAAATCCGGAAAAATAGTTTCATTTCCTATGTGTAACAATCGCGAAAACCTAAGAACTCGATGTATATATTATATTTTGTTATTTTTTACTATATAATATTTCGCTTTCAATTCTGTCTTTTTCATATTATTTCATAATTTCTTATTAAATATTACTATGTACATATGGGTATACTTAAAAATCTTTAAAATATTTTCTAGTGTCATTCTTTAAGTTAGTAAAAGTAATTTAGGCTATTTACACGTATAATTACATATATTAGTTTAAAATTGCGTCGTATATTTGTGGTTAAGGTTGGCATAGTTCTTTTTCCGATAAAAATACTGTAAAAAGATTAATGTCCACTTGCATCACACTTAAGTATGTCTTAAACCGATGCTTAAATTGATAAGACACTCTTAACACAATGCGTTATACTCCGTCCAACTATTTATTTAACTTTAGACAGCCCCAATTCTAATCCATTAGTGATGTCATAATGCGTTTCCGATTCGATTTTTTTATAACAATCAATTTTAATTTATGAAGAAGTTTTAATCGTGAATGTGAGCGGGTTCAAAATAAAAGATATTGTCTGATTGGGATCGTGATATTGCGTTGGACAATTTGTGTACTCAATAATTAATAATTAATGTTATTGAGGATTCAAATGACGATTCCCGTTCATATGGAAAAGAATCCGACGATTTATTATAATAAACAATAAGAATTTATTAGAATTATTTCTAATTAATTTCATTTCATTACAATTTATTAGACAGGTACCAAAATTTATCAACGTGAATAATCTTCGTTACATAATTTGTTAGCTCGATAAATACCAATATTATAACCAATATTAATACCAATATTAAATAATTTAGCTCCAAAGCTAAAGAGCACATCTAGCTTCACTAAAATCAAAAAATAAAACAGTCCAGGAAGTATTGCATTTTTGTGTATGGTTGTGTGTCAATAATCATAGAATTTTGGAGGCATGCATAAGTCAAAAGTTAAATAAACGGTTGGACGGAGTATAAGAGTTATTTTAAGACGTACTTAGAAGAAGTAGACATTACTGTTAACTATGTTGGCTTTATCTTTACCTTTGCCACTGTTTGGCATAGATATCTGCAAAGAGAAGGTTTATAATGAAGTACCGAGAACATCACCCCTTTCATTTTATTGTTATATTTTTAGGATTGTAACATATATTGCTGGGTACAACAAAACAATTTCCATGAATTTCAAATTACACCAATTCATCAACGAATACGCAATTTTAAAGTTAACAGCACGTGTAATAAATTTATAGCATCACAGTGAATTCATTTATTATTATAATTTTAACATAAATAAATTTTGCTATGAACTTGGAAATAAAAGTACATAATTTTAGTTGTAGAAATTGTTACAAAAGACACATCTATCTTTGTAAAAAAGTTGTGATTTTTTATAAACTTTTGCATTTGCGCATTTCCAAAATTATTACATTCAAAATTTGTCTTGTCCAATTCTTGACCAGAATTAAGAAACAAAGTGAAATTAAAGTTTTTTAGATATATTTTATTAAAATAATATTTCAAATTGAACTGTTCCAACAATCAGCAAAAATGTTAAAGAATAATAAAAATTTTCTATACGGTAAAAGTGTATTTATATTAACTATTTTTTTAATTTATTGTCTATATTTCTTCTGAAAATTTACTTCGTTCAATATTTATGAAATAGATCAGAAACTTATTTAAATTTTGAGCTCAACTATTTATACATCTTAATTGTAAAATAATCAAAACATCAATCAGTAATTTACATAAAAGATTATTTTTTATATAAAGTATTTTATATTACAAAAAATACCGGAGACAAAAATTAGTAAAACAGAAATATTACTAACATACTATTTTACAGAAGAATAAAAATTCCTCTATATAGATTTTAACGAGACGTATTTCTCAATAGTAATTTCAAATATTACCAATCATCAACAGGAAATGTATCTATAATAATTATAAAATATTATTTTTTACATCGATCATACTAAGTATTCGATTTATTTACATTTCTTTAAATACGTATATAAAGGGCATTTCACATTTACAATTCAGACAGTTTTTTTTACCATAATACCAATGCAATTGTGGAATAGCCCAACTCTTCACGTCAAAGGAAACTTACTTAGGCAGTCTTAGAAGAAATTCGATGTTTTTTACAATATCGTCTCTATTAATCTTTATACATTCGAAAATTAATATAAAAAAGTAAAAATGAAAATAATACTAAAAACATTATAATAAAGAACTATTTTCCTGTGTTAAGACCCTACATCATCTTACATCTGTTCACTGCTTCCGACCCTATGCCGCCCGCATCCAGCCAATGTCCGTCACTTTTCTCAGATCGACCGTCCATCTCGCCGCAGAGCGTCCACTGCGTTTGCTTTGACGTAGTCGCCACTCTAGAACAAGTCTGCTTCATCGGCAATCAACCCTTCTGCAGACTGTGCGGCGCACTGCCACTTAAACTTAGTAATTTTGCGAGCTTTTGGTCAATTTAGTTCTCTGACATATGACTTCATTATGAATTCGGCCCATCAGAAAAACCCCAAGCATAGCTCGCTCCATCGCACGCTGAGAGACGTTCAATTTGTGGATGAGGTTTGTTGTTAATGTCTCCACTCCGTAGAACACAATTCTACCAGTTTAGTTTTACGTCCCGTAACGTAATAACTAGTAGAACTGCTAAAATGTACAGATTAGTAAATCATAGAGTTAAATTTAACCTCTATGCTCTTACTTACGCAATTACTCCACCTCTGTCATAGGTTTTCAACGCCTCAATCAGAATTTTCAGTAAGGACCACATAAAATATTTATATTCAAAATGTGTCTTCTTGTGATCGCCCTGTACAATTTGCTATAAATTGTCATAAATTTCACGCGGCCGCTGGCAACAATTTTCACTGTAAACTTGTAATAGACAATGTGTTGATAGCTCCTAGCAACCGCGCAAATATTTAAACATAAATTGTGTACGATAAATTGTACTGCACCTCTAGCGGTTTCCACGGACGTAAAGGAATAGTTGGCGAAATATTATTTGTACCGTGTCGTCTTATCGCTTCATCTTTAAAGTACAATAGGACAAAAGAGTGAACTGTCTCATTAACGCACGAACCATCTGTATAGTGCAAACAGCTGGTTTAAAGTTGACGTGCATAAAAAACAAAATTATGCAATACAATATTAATAACTTTAAACTATTATGCATTGGCATTTAATTCTAAACTTGATAATCTTTATGCGTAAATAACCTACTGAATTAGTAAAAACAGAGTTGGCAGTCGGTATTTTAAAAAGTACCTACTGTTAAAAAAAACGACTTGTTGAGTAAATAAATAATTGAAAACTACAAAGCAGAAAAAGCATTTAGCACATCCATGACTGGTACGATGGACCAAGATCATTACATCCGTATACGCTATAAATAAAAGAAGTGTAATGTATTAATTACCCTATTGTAATAAAAGAATACGCCGTTCCAAGAGATAACATTCATCGGTGCAAATAACTTCAACTATACAGAAATAGCAATGTTACTTCAAACCATTAAAAATTCGAAAACCTAACATACAAAAATAGATCCAGTTTCCTTAGATGTGAAGAGCCACAGATTAAATAAATTACAGTAATCAGACTAGACACAGCTTTCTCTTGCGTTCGCTAGCAGTGGTGTCCGCGTAGTGACAACTTCTCTTCGCCGCGATAGAGTCCCACTGGTCACGCTCCGCCTGTCGTCCGCTAGCGTACCGATGCTCTATGCAATGGAAAATGGGTTGTTGAAAAGGCACATATATTTTTAAATGCAGCCAAGCTTTCGTAAGTGTATTTGGCTGTTCGGTCTTTTTGTATTTTATATTTACTTAGTTGACATTAAAGTACATGCCTGAGTCACGTTTATTTTTCTAACTACCCTTGTACAGTACACTTTGACTTCTCATATAAAATACTCACAATTTGATATTTATTTTTATAGAATAGAATTATTTATTTCATAACATTAATGGCGCATTAAAACAATTCAAAATATAATAGAATTCACAATTTTTTTTTGTTTCATGTCCGGTGGTCCAAAAATGAGCTGTAAACAATTTGATTTATCCAACAGAACTTTTTTTTTCAGTTTAATTACCTTTTAATTAAAAAAAATAAATGAAACGGAACTGGTATGATTGATTTAGTGTGAAGCCAGGCCGATATTTTTAGATTTTGTATAAATAAAAATATAATGTAACTTTTAACCTAATTGAATACTGCGTATCGGTAAACTCATAGTTAGTAATATGGATAGGTAGGACAGCCTCACACTAGAGCGCGCACCCACTCGGGTACGCTTGTGCATACACATGCCCACATGTAACGTGTCTTTGTGCATACGCTATGTTTAAGCTGTTCTTTTTGTTGATTAAAATAATGATAACATCAGTTTTGAAGTGTCTGTTTTTACTAGCTATTATAAACTAAACGTCTATAATAAGTTATTATTATTACAGTTTATATAGAATTTTATAGTAACAAAGCAAGCATTGTTAAATATTACAATATATACTGTCTATTTACTAACCTGCATTAAATAAAATAATTCATCAGAAATTCATAAGCGTAAATTAATTTATTTTCTATGTGAAAGTTTTTTTTATGTATTACCTGAGCATCAGACGCAGGCGTATTAGGTGTGTGCGGAGTAGTGGATCTGGCTTCATGCTGCTGTAAGCTGTGGGCACTCCGCGATGACCCCACAGGGGGTGACACTACTGCGCCGTAGGGAGGTGGCTCCGGCGGCCGCTCTGATTCCCGTGTGCACTTGAAATCTAAATAGATAAAAGATATAGAAATAAATTTTGACGCTGATAAAATCGACCATCAATAATGCGTTTTCGAGCTGTTTAAAATTAATTCGGGTAAATGAGTATTCTTTACTTAACACGGTCACAGTCCCCCATATAAAGGCCGAAATCAACCTCGTTGTCAACCAGAATTTGTGTGAACTGGTGATAGGTTTTTTTGGTGATAGGATCCTCCCCCAACTCCTGTACTATCCAAGTCACAACTTTTAAAAAATCAGAGCTTTGATTTACAAATGCAAGCAAAACATTTGACATTGATGAGTACGTACTGGCCACGTCATAGGTATGCGTGGACTTATATTTGAAGCCAATTTGCTAATCCATGTGGAGTCGTGGACTATGAACGTGTTAAATGTGAAATGACTAAATTTAATATTAATAAATAAATTATTTCGTCTTTACAACACCTTGAATGCCAGAATGATAACTCCCAATTGAACTTAGTTTTCCAATATTAGCTTACGTACACTCAATGTACATTTTTAAATTCTAAACAGAAACAGCATGACTGCTAAAGGTTGAAAACTACTTATCAGCACGCTTTAGTAGGTATTACGTTTGATGAGCTACATACTGACACAAGTTTACTATGAACGCGGTACTCTAGTGCGCTGATAAATGTTGTCCAACCCTAAGTACCTTTTCCAAGAGGAACGACGTCCGGATTCTTGTCGTCTGGGTGTAAGGGTGAGTGATTGGCGCTATGCATTGAGTTCTTATAAGCCTTCACCGTTTGTAGTGGAGCTAAAATAAAAAACGCTGGGTAAATTCGTTTGAATTTTATTTTAACTTAATATAACATAAAAGGGTAAAAGGTTGAAAAGGTTTATGAAAAACGTCTGTTGGAATGTAATCGATCTGCGGTAAAGTTAGTAAAAGTTTCAGTTCGTAGCACAAAAAAATATTTAAAACTTGAAGTTAATTTATTGAATATAACGAAACTAATAACTATAATTGTATATTGTAATCACATTTACATAAAACAAGAACGTCACAAAGTAAGGCACGGGTAATAATAATTTCTAAACATCAATATTATTACGGTACGCACGCAATACACGAGTTAATCTAAACCTGGCACTAACCTGGTACTGACTTTTTATTACTCTTTACTTTTAACGCGTTTTTATACAGATATTTTAACTACGATCAATAAATAAGGTTTTATTCACTTTGTTACGGAATCGATGGCTTCTAAATTTATATTTCTGTATGGAATATTGATCTATACAATACAGTTTTTAAAGTTCAACTGCGGTGAGCAATATAACCACATTTACACCGTGCACCATATAGTATTATATTATTAGTATTGACTGCCTCCGTGGCAGAACGGATACCATGCTAGGTAGCCACGCAGAGATCCCGGTTTCGATTTCCGGGCCAGGGGAAATATTTGTATGGCCTACATTTATTTATCTCGTGAGGTTGTGTGGAATTTGTGGTTGTCTATGTGTGTGTTCATGGCACCCGCTTTACAGGGTCTTCCATTTCGGGGCTATGAGTGTGTGCGTTATTTATTTACTTAACCCCGGTGCTATGAGTAACAAAGCAAAGGTATTCACTCCGGGGCACTACCCAGAACACTTAGACCATAACCAAATTTGAAAAGCGACTTTCCCAAATTATCTTTATTTGTAGGTAAGTAAATTAAACTTGAAATCGTCATATCGACTAAGCTTATTGCTTATTTGTAAGGCAGATTTCCCCAAGAAGAATGATCTAAGAAATCTTCTCTGGGGAATCCTACGAATGAGCAAGAAAATCTAGGAGTTGCTTTTTGTAAACATATTTTTGAATACATATTTCTAACATCTTAGGTCGACATTACCTGCAAGAGCTAAATGGGTCACTATCACGGATTTTTGACATCCAAGTACACAAAAGCTGTGCAAAAGTGTTATTATTTACATAAATAGCACATTTTAAATATCATCCGGAATCTTATTATAAAAGCGTATATATTGCCCCTTAAACGAATTTGTTTGTGACTTTGTGAAGATGACTGCCAAGAACAGCTACTTTATTTTAATTTCTCGTATTAATGTTATGTCTTTCACTATTTTGTATTAAAAAAATCCTCGCAGGGCAAACTGTTGCCAGAGGTCAGAGGTCATCGAGGTCGTCCACATAATACAACATAATAGAGAAACTGAAACAGCGACAGCCTTATAAATTATGAAATTCCCTGTCTGCCAGCTGTAAGCTCATACAACCCCTATTCTAAAGATTTTTTAAGTAAGTTTGTTCCATCTTGGATCCCATTTAAGCTCCAGGTATAGGTCATTACCTATGCCACTGTCAAGACTAAGTCCATTTACAATAAAAAAAATATTTTTAATGCAGAAACACGGCACTTTAAGTATTAACATGAATCGAAGATATTAAGGTAATATTTCAATGGTTGATGGTTCTACTGCTTTCATAACGACATACATTAGACTTCCATGATGAAAACAACATAATTCAAATATAAAATGGCACTGCATAAACTAAAGTTATTTGTTAAAGTAGCTGACTGACGAGAGACAATAACATTACATTAGAAGGAAATGGGTTAACAATAGCGGGCTTTACACTGACACTCTATCACGCGTGATACAGCAATCGTGCGCAATTGGACGCTCTTTCCGTTGTAACAAAAAACGAACATGAGAACGTTAGTTTTAAAAAATTCAAACAGGTAATCGCGCACGATTGCGCGTGCAGGCTTACCCGAGCGCAATCTTGGACATTCCTGTTCACACGCAATAGAGTGACTGTGTAAAGGGGGCTAATAACACTACATTAGAATGACATGGGTTAACAATTCATTCGTCAAATTCCTTAATACTCGAATACTGTCCTCCGTGTCATAAATAACGTAATGCCCTTTTTGGCGAAATTGAGTTATTAGCATATTTGGAAATAGCAAAACGAAATCTACAAGCCCCTATAAGTGGTTTTTTATATCTTATTTAGTTTAAGTTTTATTGTTAATTTGTTTAACAACAAAACTTAAATTGATATTTTTCACATAAAAAAAACTTTAGGTGCCAATACCTCGAAAGTCACCTGTACAAAGTATAACACAGTCCGTGGCATCAAAAAGGTCGTCTGGCAAACTGGTGTCAGGGCACGAGGGACAGGATATTACGTGTTCCTTTGTTTTTGGGCCGTTCGAATAGTTTATAGTTATCAAACGATCAATATACTCGGACATTCATGAGGTTGTGACATGACTGTTGCGGCATATGCATATTTTTGTTTGATTATACGTTGTGACTTTTTCACCTGAACTACTTTTACGAACATAATTTTGTCTTTAGACATGGATTCTTTCCTTTTTATTAGTTATGCTACCAATACATGGGTTGTTATACGGTAATAACCCCTATTAAATATGCAGTAACGTACGTTTCCAGATAACAAGCGTCATCGATCTTGATTAGGGAATGAATTTTTTAAATTTTAATGCCCTAGTGTGAACAACATATCACCCTTAAATATTTTATGATGCCCTTAAGTGTGCACTGTCTCTTCGGTTGGAAAATTTACATTCATGCATCATGATAAGAGTTTTTATACATTATGAAAATCATCATCGTACGTAATTAAGATTAAGTTTGTATGTTTACATCCCAAGTATGTAAACTTCGTTTTTTTGAATATTAGAAACGAGGTGAATAAAGAAGGGTTTGCAAACAGGTTGTTTTTCAGAAATTATATTGAAAGGTTGTGTCATTTTTCTAATTCTACATAAGCAATAAAGAAGGACATTTGGCGGACTTCGAGACGGGTTCCTATGCAACCTACTGGGGCCAGCATCGGATCGATACGTCTTCAACGCCGTTCACCAAACGAAAATTAACATAAAGAGCTACCTACTAGCAATAAACTTTAACAGAAAATAATATAAATTCTGCAAATCAAAACTATTAAAAAACTAATGATACAGTAAAATAATGCGAATAATTAAAATATCAATAATGTGAAACACTCTTGTGGCGGGACATAACCACGTCATACGCCTAAAACATTCCATTTGTTTTCCATCTCTGCTTTTTAGGCGCTGTCTTTGTTTTTTTATTTTTTACTTTATAATAAATAAATAAATAACTAAATGCCTTATTATTCTATAATAATAAATTTAAAAAAGCAAAAAATAAATTAAAAGTACACATTATGTTATTTATTAATAAAATTGTAATCCGTGTCCATGATTAAAAAGAAATATAATATTATATGTAGATATCAAATGAGTGTACAATTCCGTGATATATCGTGTCCGATAAAAAAACCTCTTTGAAGCTATTTCTAATGCTAAAAAACGAAGTGTATATATTTGTAAAGATTGCTTGTTATGTAACTTGAATAATTTAACTACTTATTTGGTTTTTTCGGATTTACTTTTCCTACATTATAATTACTACAACATTTCGAGATGTTTATTCGCAGCGATTCCAATTTGTGTGTTTACCAAACACCCACACCAAGTAAAATTTTTCTTCTAAACGTACATAAAATAAAAACACAGATCAAATGAAGATTTTTCATAAACAAACCATGTGCTTGAAGTGGTCGTAGACTCAATAAAAATGTCGTGAGTGGTGACTGAACATCTGCAATGTCAGTCGAAATGCAGAAGGACATAAATCACATATTGAAATGCAATGAAAGCTGGAACGGAACGTTCAAAAATTCTGAACACGCGACGGAATTTGCCTCCGTTCTGCATGAAATTCGCAGCACAAAATGGATCTTTATAGACTCTTTTATTAGAAATAAAATAGAAAAAGTTTTAATAATTCATTCCAATTTTGTCACTTAACAAAATTTTAAGAAAAGCAAATAAATACTGAAACTAGACAAAATATATAAAATCAAATCCGACGCTCGTTACACTTATAAACAAAATTTGAAGAGAAGAAAAAATGGGCACTGGTATCGTCAAAGACAAAAGATATCAGTGTTGCTATATAAATAATTAAAATATTTTTTAAATATTTTACGTTATCAAATTTTATGTTCTATAATGATTGAAAATTAAAGTGCCTTGGAATCAGACGCTTATAAAAGCGCTGCAGTGACCCCACTGTGGCGCTGTAGCTGCGCCACTACTAATTTTCATACAATATAATATTTAGAACACTTTACACACAAATTTAGAGCGCCACACGCGCGCTACTTTCGCAGTTCAGAAATTATATGAAAATTAGTAGTGGGACGGCTGCAGCCACAGTGGAGCTTAATATTCTTATGTTATTAGTTTTTTTAATATTATAATATATTAATTCCAATGTACATAAAGAAGTTTTACAACTTTATTGACCATTTATCATTTCAAGGAACCTACAATATCACTTCTGCTTTTTAAGAAGTAGTCCTAATTTCCTCGTTTCGTAGAATAAAAACAACATTTAAAGGTGTTAAGGCCAATCTATTGCTGTGTCATTTATAACAATTCCCGTGTATCCAGGCCGGTTGAAATGTTTAGAAAGACAAATTATTGCTACCTTACTCCAAGACACGAAGCGATGGCGTGTTCTAAAATCCAACTAATGCCAGTGGTTTCGATGATTTAGATTAATTTTGTTCACGATTTAATTGTTTTTTATTTTAAAGAAAAAGTGGTTGTAATACGAATACCATACATTCATGCCAAATTTTAAGTTTCTAAACTGGTAACGATTTAGAGTTTTGTTTACCGTCTTTTGATATTAAAATTTCTTCAATGTCACTTTTGACACGTTGCTATTTTTTAAATAAATTTTATACTTCCAGGAAACTGTCAACAAACTTGCAGTTAACAGGCTTGTGTTATGTAACTTAAAACTTATTCTTATGCTCGTTTTGATTACATTTACGTTCACGAAATGTTTGTCATTTATCTGTTTACAAAATTTGTAAACGATTTCAGTTTGCATTAATGGTTTTTAATCGTAACCTTTAAAAGTTTTATTTGAATTAATTGGCTTTGATTAAAAATTGTCACTGAGGAACTTATTTCCCAAAAATTTGTACCTATCGTGGAGAATCTGACCAGTTTTTTTTTATTGGAGTGACAAACGATATGTCCTAAAGAAATCGCTTCGCTTAATGTTTTTCAGTAAATGATATTGTTTAACACCAGACCCTCAATATGGTTAGCATTTAGTATTTGGCCGCTTGAATGTCACGCGATCGGCAGACATAATTATCTACCGACCGCGTACTTGGGTATTAATGATGTAATGAGTTCAAGAATTTATGAACGGTATTGAAGTTTTAATCTTGTGTGGGAGGCAATTAAAGCAGGTAAAATAAATATTTATTTATCTGAGTTTGATCTGAGTAAAAAATGACATATTTTGGTAGTGATTTCATTCTTATCTTGATTAATAAAACTGGAGAAACGGCAGTGCTTACGCCAATATCCTTTTTTACAATGTTTTTGGTTTGACAATGATTTAAAAATTACAAATTTACTGTCACGGACATTTTTTTTTTTGCAATAAATTATGAATACTTTAAATGCATAAAAAAGCTAGAGAAGAGATGTACATTTAATAATTTAAAATGTTTTACCAAAAATAATCACAAGGCTGAATATGTCAAAGCTCTGCCTTCTAATTTTGTTTTTTCTTACGAACAAAACCGTAATTAAAAAATCCGCCATTTTCATAAAATTGCTCGAAAAAATGGTATTACTTTGTAATCCATTTATATCCACAAATATGACTTGTTTAAATGATCGTCGGGTATAAAGGAATGTACTTCGATCTATTTTTTGAGCGAAGAGCAAATGACAAAAAAGATATCTCTTGTTTTCTTAATTTTTTTTTATGTTTCCAAGGAACCGGACGAACAAGTCGTGCGCCTGGCGGTAACGACACGCCTATCTGTGACAGTTGCCGTGCTATTAGGAGCTGTAAATCGCAAAATCTGAGATACACTGCCGTTGCACCCATTACCTTGAGACATATGTTGATAAATGCCATGTGCCTGTTATTTCACCAGCACCCTTCAGAACCGGAATGCAGTAATGCTAACATTACCTTTTGGCGGCAGAAATAGGTAAGGTGGCAGTAATTTCCTGGAACTCTTTCATAAGGAGCTTTACCGTTGCTAAATTTATTGCTAAAATTAAGAGATTGCGCTGTTTTCTTCCACATGTATCACAGTAAGTCGTGTGTCACACGGGCGTTATGGTTATTGCAAACCAGTTAACACTTTGAGCCAGAGCCCTGGGCGAAGGTTTAAGCTTCACAAGTTGACACATTAAGCCCAAACCGAAGATGAGTTTGCAATAATCTACTTTCCACCCCAATAAAACAATGCACTATTGCTTGTACGACCTATCATTTCCATGAACGTATTTTTTAGATCACCGCCGTGCCATTACAGTATCAATTTCCTTCCATGTGTACAAAAGTGACCCTGTATTCCTACGTATATAATTCTCTGATATGTATAAATCGATTCTATTCCATTCATAGTAGCGTTGGATATGTCGTAAAAATTCCAACTTTAACCATTCTCATTCCGCTCGTATTGTCATCGCGACCGTACGAGCGGTTCGCACGCTATCCGTAACATATGAAGTCGAGGTGAAATCGTGAAGTTCCACTTTAAGGAATTACAGTTCCGAATTGGTTTTGGAACTTTTTAACCCTTTTTCGACATGCAACGCAAACTAGGCATTTTATTATGCATACTAGAGTTTTATACTGAAATAATAACGAAGGTTAAATAGAGTGTTGTTGAGTGTATGTGGTACGTAAACTTTTGCCATACGTTCTATGGATCTACTATACTGATAATTTTTATAATGTATCTTTGTTCTTAATGTTGATTGCATAGGTGATGCAAAATCACTTTTACACGTACGTATGGAAATCTTAGTCCAAAACTTGGCGGCGTAACAGATATTGCCAAATTAATATTTTATTCTTTGCATCCCTTTCATGGTCAGTAACGACAGTTTTGTGGTTGTCTATGTGTGTGTCCATGGCACCCGCGATACAGGGTCTTCCTAGAGCGGGGCTATGAGTGAGTGCGATATATTTTTTATTATTACTTCAGTAGCAGTAGAGCTCCATGTGAAAGAGTTAGTCCAGGGAAGTGCTGCCACCTTAAGTATGTCTCCCGTCAAGCAGTGATGTGACCATTTTTTTGTTTGCATTAATATTGGACATAACTGGTTGATGACGTTACCACCTCATTCAACCGTGACTATGGGATCTGTAAAGGGCCCGAAACGTCGGTTTGTTTGAAAAAACAAATATACGCGATTTAAATCCGGAAAAATAGTTTCCTTTCCTATGTGTAACAATCGCGAAAACCTAAGAACTCGATATATAAACTAAAGATTATTATACAGCTTCTGCGTACTTGAATGACAAGAATCCGTGGTAGTGACCCGTTTAGCTCTTGCAGGTGGTCTCAATCTGAGATATTTGAAATAAATATTGTAAATATTAAATGTAGTCAAATGTAAAGAGCAACCCCTAGACTTTCTTGCTCATTCTTCTCAAGGGACTCTGCCATATGAATGAGCAGTAGAGTACAATTAATATGACGATTTCAAGTATAATTTGCTTACTTATAAAATAAAGATAATTTGAAAACGGTTAAATTATATTATGAATAAAATTAGGCCCCCGCGGCAAGGTGCCCAAGATGCTGGCAGCGTTCCCCTTTGTATAGCCATGCTATATATGTTGGGCAAGGTAGCTGCCGGCCCTAGGGCTTCCTAGACAGTCAAAAACTTTTTGGATAAAATTTTATACAGATGAAGGGCACTGGGACCCCACGGGCCAAGGGATTCTACTCCAATAGGTGCAAACAGGTAGTAGGAATCGAGGTCCTGGTACTTATTACTGTTTATTTTTTCCGCCAACTCAGCTGCGTTACTTTTACAGCTATTAACTAAGTACGGCAACTAAATCGAAAATAAAAAATTTAATGCGCCATTTGAACTGCCAAAGAAGTTTACCTTCGTATTGCATCGGTCGGTGATGCCGTTTCCTTGCCATAACAGCAATGATGACCACGACAGCCAAAGTTCCGATGATGCCTGCAATGATGCCGAGTGCCCAACTCGTGTCGACGTTTACACTGGCTGTTTTTGCCTCTGTGAAGAAGAAGAGTACGAAGTTGTAAAAAAGCACGAAAGAGGTGACAAAAGATGAAAAAAAATGTATTAAGTTGGTAAAGTCAAATACGAGATTTTACATTTAGAATTTTTAAAACGCTCGCATTGTAAGCATAAAGTTAAAAAAATCTTGAGATATAGCACCTCGATGAATTATAAATAATAAATAACGTACATACTCATAGCCCCGCACTAGGGAAATCCTGCATCGCCGGTGCCATGGACACACAAACAACCACAAATTGCACCCAAATTCATGGGAAAAATAAATATAGGTCATACAAATACTTCTCCCGGTCTGGGAACTCGGGTCTTTTGCGTGGCAAACCAGCATGGTAACTGATCGGCCACTGAGGCAGATTTTTTTTTTATAACATTAAGTGACGGCACAAGAAATCAACTTCTTATCGGTATTTTAAATTTTTATTGAATTGATATTCAATTATTTTTTTGTGAAATTATTCCACTACTTTGTTATAATTATTAATACAAAGGTCGAACACTCAAAAACAAATACTTCGATCCGGCCGGATTCGAACCGACGTCTTCTAGCTTTCCGTGTCAGACGCTATACCAACTAAGCCACGGAACGAACCAGCGGACCTCACAATTTTTTCTGTGCTTGGGTCGTATCTTTGTATTTGGTTTTTTCAACGACTTTTTCGTCGTAGCGCCATCTATGAGAAATCTACGGAAGTTTTATCACCCTTCTTATCGGTAGTTTCAGAAATACGTAGATTACGTAATTGATGAAAATACCATGCTTAACGTAGGTTTATAAATAATAAACTAAATATACGTTACGAAAATTTATTTGACCTTACCTAAGCGAGTTTACTAGTTAAATTTTCATTAATGGCTTTAAAAAAAAATTCGTTTCGATCTTATTTACAAGCATGCGCAAAGCTTTACCGTTATCTCTCTACGAAACTACGATTTATTTTCGAGGTATCACCTTAAGTGACAAGCCCAGAGGGCTCAGAGTGGACTATATATAATTTAACACAGTCAGAACTGTCATTTTTACATAAAAGACGAAGGCAAATAAATCCCTACTTTGTTTTTTGTTTTCAAATAAATGTGATTTTCATCATGACTACATACGATAGAATCAGAATAAATTCTAAGAATAAGTTCTTCAAAACCTAATATACAGATATTTACACATAAAGTGACATAAAGGTAGGTTTCGCAACCAAAATTACCTGTATGTATTGTTAATCTTGACAAAGTGTGCACCCTCATTGTAGTAGTCTCAGATCGTCCTCTAGCGTTATGCGCATAGATGAGCAACTTCAATGCTTTGCCGGAGCCAAGTCCCCTTAATTTCCACACTGGAATGGCTGTTGAAACGTTTGCAAGGAGATGCCCGGATTCCCAAACTTCGACGAAATATGTCGTACGCAGGCCACCGTCATAGCCTAAGAAGAATAATCAAGTAATATTTTATTAAGTACACTACGATCATTCCACTGAAAATCAGGTACAAACACAAATAGGAGTCGAATCGATGTCTGTTGCCTTAACGTGGCTACAGCGATAGACGTGGATTCGAAACCAGTCGGATCCATGGAATCGTTCTTTGTGTTTCTTCTATCTTTGTATCAATAATAAATACAATAATCAAACGTTGATTTTAAATTTAGTTCTAAAAATAGACGAAAAAGGTCTTGGAAATCACGAAGAGTTGTTTTATCACAATATCAAACCATAACGATTAAATTTTAATGTACAGTCAACACACGTTCAAAGCGATCTAACATATTTATAAGTTCAGAGTCATAAAGAATTTAAAATGTGCTTTAATATTGAAACCGAAAACAATTGTAAAGTGTACCTTGTATTCATTAGCATAATATAAATTTTTGTTAAATATTGAAATATTTAAATGAAATAACATTTAAAAAATACATATCAAACGGCCATATTGATCTATAATGTTTTGCCATCTTTCAGGCAATTTTAGAGTTCTTCTTTCATACAAATTACTGTTGTATAAAATACAGCTCTAAATATTGTTTGATGGTTTCTTTCAAAGAATTTTGAAACAACAGAACAAGTGAAAATCTGAAAGTGTAAGTCGGGCAAATATGGTGGATGAGGTAAAATACATCACAACCTAACTACAATAGTTTTTGACGACTTGGTAAAAATGTGTGCGATTTGGTATTATCCTGATACAATACGACACCTTTACTTTCCACCAGATTTTTTCGTGAATTACAAAGAATCCCTTTCAGCCTTTTCTAAAATAAAATATTCTTTTTAAAATGGCCATAGACAAAGCTACAGTTTAAAAAATATTTTTCTGTTTTAAGTTAGATAGTGACAAAATCCGCACGGATTTTTTGGCCAATTCATTATTTTGAGCACTCTGAACGTTTGATTCAAACAAAGCACGTGGATGTATGATGATATTTTTCGCAAGTTTATCAATTTGGTGCAGACTGAATCATATTCACTTACCAGCAACACATCTCAGTTCAGCTGAATCTTCAGTCAAATTCAAAGACGAACAATTAAATGGTGGATCTGGTTTTATAGCTGGCAGTAATGTATAACGACAAGGTTCTATCTGCCGCCCAGCTAAATTAGTTGCCCTGCAGGACAAAGATCCATATTCTGTCTCTGTTGTTGGCGTGTATAAAAGAACAGATGTTCCTGTTGGATCGATTGTGAATTTTGCCTGTTGAAAAAGGAAACAATTTTCGCTGATTTAGATAAATAGATAAACTTTTTTTTGTCTTGCATCACACACAGAAATTAATCGCACAATATCACATAGACAGTATCGATATTTAGATTGCAACATAAAATGCACCAGATTAAAACGCAAATAGAATCAAAACAGTTCAAATAATCTGCGCTTACACAACAATAAAACAAATCAACCGTTCTTTTGCAGTCGATCGTGCTATGTTTGGTGAATAAAAATAGCTGAGAAAAAAACAAAAGAGAATTATGTGTATATACAAATGATAAAAATAAATTAATTAATAGTGAGCACTTACTGGATCAAGTTCCACGGTACCCATAGAATTATTGAGTGTCCATTGAAAGTTTTTCGGTAATGGAAAGGCATCCACTTCACATGTAACTTTAGCAGCTTCGTTTAACGCAGCTCCAACTATTGTTGTTTGTGAGTTAGTGCAGACTGGCTTATCTAAAAAGAAAACAAACGATTATGATAAAAAATACAATATTCTTCGTCTTAAATGATATTTCAAATTTACTTTCGAGTCAATTTTCTTTTTTGGTGTACAACCAGCCTATTGGAATATAGTAACAATCACCAATATATATTTGCAAAACTAAGGTAGCATCACTAATAACGTGAATGCTTTGCTAGCTGTGGGATCTTCAGAATTTTATGTCTGTGATTACTTGGACTTTCTCTCACAAACCGGTCAATTCGATACCCTGCATCAGAGTAACTCTTTTGCAGCAGAAACTGAAGGGATATAAGAGAACTTTAGTAACATAATTGTAGTTAATTGTGTGGTTTTTTATAAACAAAAACCGACCTCAAAACCTCGTGGAATTACGTCTATTTGCCAAGTTTTAACGAATTGAAAAGTTACCGAAAAGTGTGCGAAACCGGATTCAATCCCCTAGTTTACCACCCTTGAAGGTAGAAGTAGGTAGAAGAGTATTTTCTTTTTAAATTTAAATGGGACCAATAATGAGGTACCCTCCTTTCAACAGAAAAGAATCATCAAAATCGGTTCACAAATGACCGGTGTTATCGCGTAACATACACACAATAGAAAATACATTGAGAATTGAGAAACTCCTCCTTTTTTTAAATTGGTTAAAAATTTTAATCAGAACATTTGGAACAGTAGTGCTAAGTGGAATAAAAATAATGAATACTATGATTCTAAATAACCTAGATGTACTCGTCCAAATCGTTGAGTTTAAAGTGCCCTACATACGTAGTTACTCTTTAGTTACGACCGTTTACAACACTCCTACATATTATCATGCTAAAATACCTTTTCTACACCTGGAAAATAAAGCAATAGAAAGCATAATATCTCTTATATATCTTAGCATGAACAAGTAAAGTTACTGCTTCTCTAAGCCATAAGCTGATCTGAGGAATACTGAGTATGCACTCAGCTTCCCTCGCTAGGGACTGCAATCGTTACAAAAATGTTATATCGATATTGTTTTAAAAATTGAAACATGTATCAGTTAACTACAGGAATTACTTTAACCCATAATTGCAGGCTAGGACATAGTGGATGCAATTATTATAGATAACTTTATAAACTTAAGAGCATATATTATAATAATCTTTAACACTCTCACACAGTACTCTCACATAATCTTTAAAACTCTCAGACAGTAAAATTTAGACATGATTAATCAAGGTAAGGTTATTTGCTTTCCGCTTCACTTTCCATCATTGTCGCACGTTTTGTTATTTTTATTAACATTAAGTTATGATAATATATGTCTCCATATTATTAATTCATGAGAAACTGAAGCACAACAACGATATTGCATTTTGATGTACTTTTTTTAAATTTTTTTTTTAAATTTCAGCTGCGAATAATGTTACCCGCTTAGACATAGAGAATTTATTTTGTAAAGTTGCAGCATTGAAATGCGGTTTCATACTGGCTTGTCATTTGTATTGTTGTTGACTAAATGACGCCTGTCAGTCATATTTAAGTGAATTGATGATGGAACATCGACAAACATTCCGCATCGATAAAACCCACTCTAACAGCTGTGAGGTATTTGTAACACTATCTATTCATGATATTCGCTCAATAACCTCACACGATCCTATGCATGTTATTGAGAATCAGAGTCAGTGCAACGCTGCATTGCATGCATTTGAGAGCTATACAGCATTCCTATGAAATAGGGAACGTGTCGTAAGCCAATAAGGCATATGACAGGAAAAAAATATTGCTACGATCAGTTCACAAGTTGGAAATGAATCTGAAATTCGTTTCTCGTTACCTTAAGTAACAACAGAGATATTAATGGTTAAAGTCAGTGGTGGGTGGATACTCAGTCCCTTTTTAGCAAAACGACCATTAATATAATGCTATTAAGGTTTTGACGTAAAGCTTGTATGGCTCCATTAAAGTTTTGAAGTCACGAACAAGAATTACTTATTCTTTCTGATTTTTATTTTTACATTTCAGTATCAATTGACATCGTCCAGGGAAGTATTGTAATGTTCACTTTACTGCTTGGCGGCAGAAATAGGTAAGGTGCTATTTCTGTCAAAAGTGAGCATTACTTATTTCCAGTTTGGAAGGGTAAGAGTGCTGGTGAAATCACAGGCACATGGGACTTACAAACTTATATCTCAGTGTAACGGGCGCAGTGGCATTGCCCCTCAGAGCTTTGCGATTTAAAGCTCTGAGTGGCACTGCAAATGTTATGGACAGGCGTGTAGCTTACCATCAGGCGCACGACTTGTTCACCCCGTCACTTGATATTATTAACAAAAAACTATTTTTTTATTATTAAGGAGTAGCATTGAATATTTATTAATACAAAGATCACAGCCCTGGTATGGCACAGACGCAGGTTCGAGTCTTGTCAGATCGAAGTTTTCGTTGTGTTCGATCTTTGTATTAGTAATTATAACAAATTAATGGAGTAATTTCACAAAAAAATAAATTAATATCATGGCTAGTAAAACATTACAATATTCATTACAATAAATAACAATGAATATTAATTTGACACTTGACAATTGACAAGCACTATTCTATTTTTAAAGCCTAGTTTATAAATATTTTTAATAGTAAAACGCATTGACTTACAAATAAATGGACGACGGGTCTAATACAAAAACCACGAAAAAAATGTCCCAAGTCAACCTATTCCAAATTTAAATTGTAATGTCATCGCAGTATCGCGCTGTCAGTAGAACAAATGAAGACTAAAGCGGAGTGTCGCGCTCTGTATACGATTTTAGCGCCTTACAAGTGCGGACACTTTTTAGCGCGGACCCGACGTCCATATAATTGTAAGTCAATGGTAAAACGCGAAAGGATGGGATTTATATATGAATGTCGATCCCTAAAAATCTGCCAGTGTTGAATGATTTCAAGATCAATTTTTAATTAATTGTACATATTTTAAGAATGACGACGAGACGTATTCATACATTTGTGTATTTGTATTTTATAGCAGATAATCAAATAGAAGTATTTAAGTTGTACATTTTTGGAATGTACTCGCCTATTATAGATGTGAACAGTTTAGGTATATAGTACATGAGTTATGCGTCACACGAGATGCGCATTCAATTTGCGACTCCGATAGACTACTGCGATTGACGCCGGGTCTCATGCAAATTTGAGGTGGTAAGTCATAGTGTGATATGTGCCTCACATTCCGTCGAGTGACAGCTTGTATTGGAATTCATACACGGTGTCTATGCCGTCAATAAACCGTATTTTAAAAATTTTCTGTATACGTCGAATCCTTTCTTTTTTCTTTTTAACCGACTTCGAAAAAGGAGGAGGTTCTCATACCACTGCATTTTTTGTATGTATGTTATGCGATAAGTCATTTGTGAACCGATTTTGATGATTCTTTTTTTAGTGGAAAGAGGGCACCCCAGTATTGGTCCCATTTAATTTTAAAGAAAATATTCCACCTCTAAGGGTGGCAAACTAGAGGTCGAATCCGGTTTCGCGCACTTTCTTGTAACCAATTTTAATAAAACTTGGCAAATAGATGTAATTCCATGTTTTTCAAATCGATTTTTATAGTACAGTGTACTGAAATTACGTTTCGATCTAAATCGTATACATTTCTCTTTTTAAGCCATCGAGTGTATAACCAGAAATAGAGACGAAATAAGGACCATCCATCCCTAGAATCTCATCAGTCAAATGGCACTGATATCACTTTTAAATATCAACTCTCGTCTGCGCTGAAACCACAAAATAGAAAGCTGAAATAGTACAGCGCCAACAACTAACCTGTGTGTACGTCTCCGTATCTACAAACATATTCTGTATTTATTGTAATAAAGATAATATCTCTAACTATGGGGGGCTGTGCCATTCGGTGGTGTGGGAAAAACAGCAAAACATCTAATTACAAAACAAACGGAATCACATTTCATCGGTAATTAAATATTAAATTATGTAATTTTTTAAATTTTTTTTGAGCCCAGTTGTCACCGTAATGATATGGCAGAATAGTTGTTAAACAAATTAAATGACATTTCGTCTCTATTTCTGGTTATATACTCGATATTTTAAGCAAACCACTGTTTCAGGGTCTTTATAGGTCCCAGCTATGTATAATCTGTGTACATATAGTCATTTAAATAATAGCCCAAGCGGCGTAGTACTGTAGTAGTAGTAGAAACAAAAATTGTTCGACATCAGTTTCACATGCAAATACAGTGAGTGTAGTGTGTCGGAACTTACGTAACCATAGGTAACGTTACAAAAAGGCAAGATGAGTGCAATCATTTAACAACGTTGAAAAATGGCATAGTTTGTGCCATTTAGCACGTCAATAGCGGTCATTGACCCGATTTTCATCCCAAACTCACAATTCAACAGCGACCAATCGCCAATCAATATAAATGTAATTTTAAAATCGCTTAAGTAAACGATTACATAATGAAAGGCATTCAAAATACGAGTGTGGGTTTTTGAAACGAGCCGACAGACGAGTTTCATAAAAACATCTCACGAGTGTTTTAATGCCTAATTATGTACAGTTACATACACTGCTTTATCTACATACATATTATAAGGTCTCTGTGATGTGTTCAGGAACCGCATGTTACGACTGGCGAAATGGCGGCAAATAAAAACTTTTCTCACGCATGTCACACAACCGTAGTTTTTATGTTTAATTCATAGACAAACTAGAATCGGCCCCAATGATCAAATCGTTCGATATCAAATAACATGTGAAATCGTCAAAATTGTTTGCTCTTGACATTTCATTTCGAATAAAACTTCATCTCTACTGATACTAGAATTGAGGTCAAATCAAATTGTTTCGTTTTTCAGAGATGTACGAAATTTGAATGTAATAATAACATCGAATTCGATGTTATTAGAAAAGCAATAATAACGTTTTCACAGATAAGAAATTTGTTGTAACAAAACAGTTTACCTTTATGCTGGTCGTTATTTGCGGTTTTTGAACACATTATAGAGAGTTTATGATAATTATGTGTGTAGATAAAATGTATTTCGTACCAGAAGAGCTCGTAGTGAAAGCGTTCGTCTTCTTTCTGTTGTACAAAAATGGAATTAATGAATTTTTTTATTTTTTTTTTATAATACTAAGTACCTGGTGGTAAGCGACACGCCTGTCCCAAACAGTTTATACTTATGTCTCAGGGTGACGGGCGCAGTGGCAGTGCCTCTCAGATCTTTGCGATGTAAAGCTCTGAGCAGCACTGCAACTGTTACAAATAGGCATGTAGCTTACCTCCAGGCGCACGACTTGTTCGTCCCATCACTTTGTATCATAAAAAAAATCAAATTCAGCATGTTACTTTATGAGTTGCTAATATCCCCGGTTAGTATCCCGGGACTCTACCCAGAACACCTAGACTAGAACCAATTTCGATAAGTTCATTTCCCAATTTGATTCTACCGGTAAATGAACCCGGGACCTTATCGCTCAGCGTCCACACTGCAAACGTAAAATTTCTTTAAATATTTGTCTAGTTTTATTTACATGATTAATATTTATAATAAATTTATCATTTCTTAAATATATATTACATATTTATTTATTCAAAGCTGTTTGCGATTTATTCAATATTTTGACACATTTGAAAGTCAAACAACACAATATATACTATATGTATATATATCGTCCTAAGGCCTCATGTACTTCAAAATGTACATAGTATATGAATTATTTCAGACCCAGATAATTATGATTCCTTTGATCACGTAAACACCCAGTGTACATTATAATGAAAATATCGCAATAAATATTATAAATTAATTTGAATGCGTTAAACGGGGTCGGGCTCGGCCTGCAGCACGTTGTCGTGTTTGCTTAATTTAGGAAATTTAGGAAACGAACATTTCTAAGTTGGTTCTGGTCTGGGTATTCTGGGTATTACCCTCAGAGTTATTGTTGTTCTGGTCTTCATAGTATGTACATAAAATTTTCTAATTTGAGGCCAGAAATTTCGAGTGATTGTCTGTCATTTTTTTTTCTTCTCTTTGGCATAACTTCCAAGAAAAAGGAATCTAACAGAAAGACAGTCGGGCCACAGCAACGCTATAAGTACCTCATATCCCCTTGCATCGGGAAGTATGCCTTACATTTTGAACAATTGTGAGATCTTGTACTCGTAATAGAACCTTCGCATACTACCTACGTCGCGTCGTTGGCGTGCGGAGACTTCGGCCTTCGCTCTCCGCTTGACCTCGGCCTATAACCTCGGTACTTATGGCTTTGTTTTAAGCAAAGCAAGTTTTTTCAACAGCAACGGCGAAAACAAAATTTTTACCCCAAATTATGATTAAAGCCATGCCATTTTCAGTCGAATTAGAGCAAATTCTTATCAACGCCAAGAAAAGTTTGTACGGCAGCCATGTTGAGAAACTCAGAGGCGTGAGACAAGATTCGAATCCACAGCATCTACTTAAGCAGGAAGGTCAAACCATTAGGCTAACGCGTTTTCTTTCACTTCTTCTTTTGCATACCGTAGTTTGATTGATTTTGTAGTTTAATCGTGTGTGTTAGAAAGTAGTTATCACTATGAATATCAAACATTTATAACATATTATAATTTAATGTACTGTGTAAACCAATAAGTTCCAATTTTAAATGCTTTAAAAAGTTACCTTAAGCGCACTTTGTATATAAACTTCTGACATTAATGCGGCTTAAACCTTTTGTCAGATTTAAACAATAGCAGTCTTCGTCGGTCGATAAATTCTACACCAAGTGAGTTTAGGGATAAAGTTGAAGTTCTTTTCAAGACTCCTTCAAAGTAAAGTTTTATGCACGTACGTTTAATGTACTTGGGAAAGAAAAGAGCACGTCGGATGTTTTGCAACCGGTAAGAAGTAAGAAAATATAAACGCTAATATCCGAGCCGCGGAAACTTGTCAACGCAAGTAAAGATTTTTTATACATCGATTTATACATATTACTTCTATCTGTTTACGAATTTAGTGATGCAACAGATTACTGCTCCTGCTTCCGCAACTGCGAAAGTTCCGCACGCTTATTCACATCCGTTTCTGTTTCTGCTTCTTCATCTTTTATAACGAAATTTTGAGCGGAATCTCTCAGCGTACTATGGGAGAAAGTGAGTAAAAGTCTGGCCAATATATTTACATGGTAAATTTTAACAATGTTAAATTTTGATTTTAAAATGCCATTATAAAGTCGACAGATTTTATTAGAGCGTATACGATTATTTAACTTAAATTTTTGAGGGAAAAAAAATTATACTTTTTCCATTTGTCTCGTGTTTTTGTTTTTATTAATTCCACAAAAAAGACATCTCAACTACAGGTATATAACAATAAATATAAAATTGTAATAAATGAATTACCACAACATGACACATATTCAAACTCCCTTAATTATTCCGGATCAATAACAACTAATTTAAAATTAATTATAGAAATAGCCAACTTACGTGAAATGATGAAACCAAAAACAAGTGCTGTATGGAACTATTTATTTAATATCTCTATAGCATTTATACATCACCTTCCGTTTCCGTTTCAATCTATTTTTGACATTTGTTTCCGTTTCTGTTTCCGTTAATACGCTTCCGTTACATCACTAGTCCTATTGTACCAAATACCGCTCAGATTGTTACAAAATCAACCTAAATGACTATAACAGTGAACTTATAATCAGATTGTCCATGATGGATAGTAGTGACCGCCTATTTGCGGTACTAAACCTCCTTAATATCGCAAAAGCATTGTCGGTTGTGGGAAATGGATCTTAAATCTCTTGTGCATTTGATTACACTGGCTCTTCTTGCCATTCAATGCGGTACTCTTTTGAGATATAAATAAGTTGCCCTCCGCAACATAAGTAACGCATTTTATTTCACCTATTATTGTCACCTAAAATCATGCATCAATTATGTAGATTTTACTTAACAATAAAACTGAAACTATACAAGATATAAAAAAACCGCTTATAGGCTGTAGATCTTGTTATACTGATCCCGGATATGTTAATAACTCAATTTCTCTAAAAATGGCGATTACGTTAGTTATGACAAGGAAGGCAAAAATAAGGGAGTCATAAGTTTGAAGCGTATGTATATTTGGGTGACTGTCTAGCTTTGGCAACGTAGCTCTCAAACGAATAGACTAATCTCTAGGAGGTGTTTTTATTTACTTGAAGGCTATTTTTAGTGGTTTCTTAACTGTGTGTTAGGCAACCACACTAATTGCCTGGTCGCAAACTAGAGAATTCCCTGCACTATGAGTACCAAAGCAACGGAATTCTGGGGCACTTCTCAAAACATCCAGGCAAGAACCAATTTAGAAAAGTTCATTACCCAAATTCGTTCTACCTCTCGAACCCGGGACCTCGGCACCTAGCGCCCAAAATGTAAACTTAGTTAGTCCAACAAGGTCTTTTGTTCAGTTGTTTAAAGATCATCAGCTCCTTTTACAGTTAGTGTAATAAGTAAACTGCCTCCGTGGCCGAATGGTTACCGTGCCGGACTGCCAAGCAGAGGTCCCAGGTTCGATTCCCGGGCCGGGAGAAATATTTGTATGGCCTACATTTATTTCTCTCGTGAGTTTTGGTATAATTCGTGGTTATCTATGTGTCTATATGTGTGTTCTTAGCACCCAGGGTTTCGCAGGTGCTGGGTTATGAGTGTGTGTGTTATTATTATTATTGTTAATGACGACAAAAAATCTAATAATTTCACGTGTTCATTTCTTCGTATAACGAATATAAACCTATTAATTTATCAAATCAATATCGTATTACGGTGCCATGGTATAAAAGCATTTTCGTTTTTTTTTGTAAAATGATTGAAAATGAATTTGTGGTTGTCTATGTGTGTCCATGGCACCTGCGATACAGGTTTTCCCTAGTGCGGGGCTATGTTGAGTTTAAATTTTTGTGTAAAGCTAGTCGCGGTATATCCTACAATTAACTGCCACAAACTGTAGCGAAGTTCATTTAACTAGGTCTAAAATCTATGGTTTTAAGCTTATCTTTAATTTACATTACAGATGTAACTATAGAAGATGTTATCTAAGGCTATTATACTACCCAATGACGAGACGAATAAATCGCGACTCTGGGTGGTAAACAGCACGCCTTACCATAACCAGGTGCAGTGCTACTCAGAGCTCTAAATCGCAAAGATCTTATGGACAGTGCCACAGCGCCCGTAATCCTGTGACGTAAGTTGGCAAGTCCCATGTGCCTGTAATTTCACCAGTACTCTACCGTTCAAAATCGGAACGCTGTAATACTCACATTACCGCGAGAGAAATAGGTAAAGTAGCAGTACTTCCTTGAACGAATTCTTTCACAGAGAGCTGTACTGCTACTAATAATATTAATGCTGCTACTACTAATAATTATTACTTAGATTACTTACAAATAACTTGCAATTTTACAGGCCGTGATTTTCCATCTCCCTCAACATTGGATGCAGTACACACGTACTTCCCGGCTTGTTCTCTCGATACTCCTTGTAATGCGAGATGAGCGGAACCTGCAATGACGCCTGCTCTTTGGTTGTGCGTCATTATTTGGCCCTGTAAGTAATAATTGATTTGTGATTTCATATTTTATCAATAATTCATTTCACGGTACAACGTTGTCCACATATAAACATTACATCTAAAAAGTGTATGATTTCAAATTCTAAACAAATTTCTTGCCGTTCGTACAAAAAATGTGTGGTATTCCAAAAATTTGTTTTCGATATTTTTTCAAACACAAGCATTTCAACGTCGCGATGACACCTACTTATTACAACTGTACTAAAATTTCTGATTTACTTAAAAATGTAATCAAAAGCATACACTAGAACGCTTGCCGCGTTATTAACGGATTTGCCAAAAGGTATTCGCACAGGTTGCACCAGACGTTCAGGAAACAAATCATGCTTTTTTAAAATAACATCAAATGACGGGACGAACAAGTCGTGCGCCTGGTGGTAAGCTACATTACTGTCCATAACAGTCGCAGTGCCACTCAGAGCTTTAAATCGCAAAGATCTGAGGGGCACTGCCACTGCGCCATAAGACATAAATTGGCAAGTGCCACGTGCCTGTAATTTCAACAGCACCCTTAACCCTTTAAAACCGGAACACTATAATGCTGACATTACTGCTAGGTGGCAGAAATAGGTAAGGTAGGCAGTACTTCCCTGGACGAACTCTTTCGTCGTGTAGGGAGGCTCCTTTCGTGAATTTTAATCATGTGTTTAGTTGATTATTGAAAATAGATTATTTTAATTTTTTACCAACAATTTTAAAGCTTTACGGATGAATACATGGAATTTATTAATTGAACTTTATTCATAGTTTTCTCATATAGGTATTTCACCTTCACATTATATTATCACCGCTTTATGTATTTTTTATTCACTTATTAGCTACGTATATCATAAATAAAGAAAAATGCAATTCGGATAATTTTTCAAAAATATTTTGCACGATTTTACAACCTTCACTGGGTTCGCGGAGTAGCAAATTAATTTAATTCCATTTTAATTTGTTAGACGTAAAAAAACTTGACCATTATGCACTTTACCATGTGAAAATACTCGTATATGAGTAATTGCAACGAATCGGACTCAATACAGTGAAAATTTTAAATTTGGACGTATTATACTTTCTTGTTCATATTTCACGTTCAAAATAGCGTCGGATAAAAGCCATATGGTAATTTAATAGACGCACACCTGTACATAAAAATTCTATTGACGTATTTTCAAAGCTTTTGAATTCCACGTTAATTAATAATGAAAACCGTTTGACATTTTCACTAGTAAGTATGCGACACCAATATAAATATAGCGACCGAATGAAAATTTGTTTAAGCTAACATTTGCTTCATTGATACACAAAGTACAAAGAACCAATCGCATATAATCGTATTTTATTTTGCGACACACACGTCCGTCACTCATCTCAGCTCAGGGCTCATTGAAAACCAGCGCCACAGTAAATTGCGGCTGTGGCATAAGCTGAATGAAGTCCTTTTGCATACGCCACAACCGTACACATGACAGTACAACATTTGTAGTTGTTATATTTTATGTTATAGTATTTTTCTGTTTTGCTCTTTGTTTGTTATTGTCTTATTTTATTTTATTTTAAATTTGTTAATTACGTCTTTTTGTTTTGTTTCGCTTGTCTAAGTGGTATCAATATTTTTTTTTGTATCTGTGTGTTGTGGCGTTGCAATAAATGTCTATTCTATTCTATTCTATTCTATTCTATAACCACCACGTTGTTTGGTGAGATGTAAAAATATAATTACACATTCTGTTCAAAATTCGTTAATAATTTTGAATTTATGATTTCCGTTTTGGCGACCTAAAGGCCAATCCTATAAAGATAGAAACCTACATTTGAATAGTCTCAAAACTCTCGCTTTTCCCGAGATTTTCAAGATCGCACTGAGTCCCAATTTTTTTCCCCAGACACGGAAATGCAGCGAGATTGAGAGGCATAATATGCATATACAGGCCGTATTTAGCAGAACACTTGTAAAATCCAAAAATAATGCTGTTTTTTTTTAAACTCTGGTCGGTTGTTTGCCTTTTTTAATTTTAGGTGTAATTTGAAAGCAAAGCTGTGACTGTCATTTTTTCATTCATTTGTTTTAATTTCCTATCAAGTGTTTTTGCTTTATGTAAATGTAAAGGGGTTGATTTTGCTTTATGTAAATTTCGTAAATTTTAGTTGATTTTTTTTAGTTATTAAAATTTGACATAAATCAGTGTTAACCTATTAGAATTTTAAAATTTATCTGATTTGTCACAAAATTAAAAAATATGCATTTTGTACACGTTATTTAGACTCGATCTATAGCTAAATTAATAAGAGCGGTTCCGGTGTGACAACAGATGCTAGTTGGAGTTCAATCAGATTAAAGAAGTTGTTCGATCTTTGTATCGACAACAAAATTATAAACTAGTGGAGTATTTTCACAAAAAATATAGATATTATGATAGAAAAAACATTATTATATTCAGTAAAATATTTATGAACGTTTCTGTTTTATATTCTGACTTTTTTTGGTTTTGCTAAATATGGGGGCGTGTATAATTGCAACAATATATAATATACAGTGTGTTTTTTATTACTACTGGAGATTATATATTAAAAAAAGTAATTTTTGGTCTAGCGTGAGTTGTCCATAAAATGAATATTTTTTATCGTTCGTTTTTTAGTTAGATTGACTCAGTTTCATAGGAGGATCATTTCATTGTATTGGAAGAAAAAAATGGGACATCAGAAGTTGGTCAAATTTAATAAAAAGGTTTTATCATTTTTCTACCATGATATTATTCATTTATATTTTATGAAATTATTCCACTAGTTTGTAATAATTATTAATACAAAGAACGAACACAAAGAAAAATTCCTTCGATCTGACAGTACTTTTTAAAATATAAAAAATTAATCTTCAATATGAAATCGCTTTAAAATATCGTTTCAATGTTTATCACCACAAATTTAATAATCAAAGCTTCCCTCGATAAAGCCCGAACAAAATTAAATGTCGATCATTAACATGTACGAATACCAAATTATTCCTGCAGTCGATTTCAGGGCAATCAGTGTCAATTTCATATTGGCGTTTATGGACTAAACGTTTGTTTAATCTTTTGCGAAGCATAATCGTCGTTCGTAATATTTACCAAGTGCACTGTGACAGCAAAAGCCGCTTAGCGTTTCCATTAGTCCATGGTTAACTGATTTTGACTTCACGATTCATGTTTAGCTTTGTGCTTTTGAAATAAATTTTCTTGTCGCTATGACATAAACATGCATCGTTCAATGATCTTAATTATAAATGTTATTATTACAAATAATTCATATGTGGTTTATTATTGTTATTTTTTTTAATGAATGTTATAATACATTTTCAAATTACCTAAAAATCGTAAGACCGTGCCTTTAATGGTGACTGCCGCCTTTATAAATATTTATGATACTAAGGAGTTATTTTTAATAATTAACATGAGCTTTTAAATTAACGTTGGCGCTTGACGTAAAGATCTAATCCTTTGTGCATATGAGATAGCTGAATCACCCTCTTTTACCGATGGTCCGCCCGTTAAGCAGCAACCTTATTAAGATGGGTTTCTAAATAGAAAAATAAGACAAAAATATCTAAAAAATATAGTACTTACAACACTTGTTTTTGGTATTAAAAATACGTACATTATGCTCCCAGACAACTTTGTAAGCAGGCGGGTTGGCTCGAACGACACATTCAAAGTACACGTCATCTCCTTCTTCGATGTCGTTTGGGTTCAATTTAGAACCCAACTGTAGCGTGACTATTGGCACATCTGTTGAAGAAAAATATTTTTTATGCTACAAATAAACAAAAAACAGAGCGTGTAAAAATCGAGCTAATAGATCGATTTTTATGCGATTCTTTCTTTAGTTGCGTAAAGTAATTTTTCATGTTTAATTTTTGATTTTGGATTGGCAAAATTGGAAATTATTTGACGGTGGAATTGGGACGTAGATTGGGAATTGTAAGGAAGATTTGGAAGTGGAAATGTGATTAATTTATTAAGTATATTTTGATACAAATTTTGTACGTACACGCCAGTGATTCTTACTAGACTCCAATTTGATAAAAGTATAATACAAACCGCCACAAAGATCTATTCCCAAAAGAATTGTCGCTGAAAGGAGAATAAATTCCACTAAACTCACAAGTACGAAAAATGTCATACGACGAAGTGTCTACATAGAGTAAAATAAAATTTGTGAACAACTTTCCATATGGGAATCATATGAAAAAAAATACAACTACAATAACTCCTTCATCATCACCTGCGGTTATACACTCATTAGTGAATCAGTGCAATATGATCAAAATGACCAGTTAAACGCGTGTGAAAGTTTTCGGTATGTGCCGTCCATTCTTTGGTGCCAAAATGTTTATATTTTGCAACAGGTAAGCGGTTACTTTATTGAACGTTTCCATTTATTTGTACATCCAAATAGTAATTAAATCTTGTACTCAATTATTCACATGTCACATTACAACATTGTTACAAAATATGCCATGGTGTAGATGCCAATGCTCTCTATAATCATCGACTATTTGGATGGGGCCATAGCATTTAAAAGAACAAGAAACTTATTTTGCAAATTAAAAAAAAAAGGTACGTATATTGTTATAAAGGTTGAGGTGTTCGAGGTTACGGTTTTTATCTCAAATGATAGAAAATAGTTCCATCTGGCTTTGCCAGTACAAAAACATGGACCTAGACTTGTACCTCCAGGGCCGAGCATTCCAATCGAAGCAACATTTTCTATGGTCTGTAATATTTATTCCTGATTTTTATTGCGGGCTTCTAGACAGTATTAGATTTATTTCCCTCGAGATTAGCCGAGCTAGTGAACCACTCAGCGTCAATAACCTGTAGGCGGTTAAGTTCTCGAGCATCGAGACAAATACGTGTAAGTACTGAAAATTGATATATTCTCGTTTATATATTAAAATTGTACAGAATTAAAAAAAATGTAATATGCAAACATGTCTTAAAATTTTTAATTTTTATGACTGGTGTAAATGTAGACGGCATCTATGTAAAAAAATCACACTTCCTCAATGATAATATAGATATGTGAGGACAAGCTCTACAAGAGTCGCTGAAACAACAATATTTTTCTGTGTTTAATATATATATAAACTATTAATTGTTTCTATAATATATAAATATATATATAATTCTATATAAATATATATATTAATTGGTTCGTCTATATTAGTTGATCTACAGACATAATAATAAATGAACTGCATTCAAGGTAACACTATCATTATGTTTAAGCATACTAAGTTAATATTTGGTATTCAAAAATAATCTTTGATACTCTTTTTTCATATAGGTCAAATCCTGATTGCGCTCTCCTTTCAGTAGGTTAGATTAGGTTAGTATATAAAAAAGCAGTACGAGCCGAGCGAGCGAAGCGAGCGTGTCGCGGCAGCGGCCGGCGAGTGACAGAAGCGAATTTGCTTGTGTTTTCGAACATAGTTTCAGGTCAAATTATGTTAAAATTAATATAATATTACGATACAAATATTTTAGTAAATCAAAATAAAACAAGTATTTTAGTAAATCGAATTACCTATAAAAAAATAAATATCTAAATTGTATTTTGAAAGCTATTCTAAAGTATTTTTAAATTTTAAAAAATTAAACATTTTTTGCGTGGCTCTAAACAGATTAAAATATCCATTGATTTAATTTATTTTATGTCTAAGAGAAATAGGATCAATCATTAAAAAAGATGACCGTTTACATTTTTTGTCTGCAAATTTATATTTATGATATATATGCCCTAGAAATGTGACAGAGTGGCGTAAAATCGCAGAGGCACTACCGAGCCGTAGGCAATCCTAAGCTGACAAAAAAGAATTTAAATCCATTCTATCGTTTTCGGTCTACGATAAAACAGATTTACAGGCCATTTGCCTGCTGTGTATATAATGAAAATGACACAGATTGTTCTTTTTTTTCGTTCATTGCATGAAAATTGCTAAAAAATAAATGCTAGATTTTCTATGGTTATCAAAAGACAACTTATACCAACCACTTAATTAAAACTTTATAAAAGTATTCTGTCTATATGAAAAAGCCAAAAATTGATATCTGAAGTGTTGAGACCAAAATTGATAGCCCATGATTGTTTTTGAAAAAACTGAATGTATTGAAAAATTTATAGCATGGGGATTTGGCGGGTCAAGTTTGTAAAACTGTATATTTCGTTCCAGAGGACAGACCGATGTTCGTCTTTCTATTACTTCAACAAAAGTATATACGTTTGTTTAAAGGAGGTGTAGAAGGTTTGCTTTTGACTGAGCAAATTTGCTGATGTCTCTCGAGTACACTATGTACAACATAGCTAGCCTTTATTTATTTTCTCAAATATTATACATATTTGGACCTCTGTTTTACTTTTACAGCATGATCGTAATATACAAGAACTCGAAAAAGTATGAATTTTTACGAAATTGTTGACTTCAGCTTATAAATGTATAGTATACAAAAAAATATATAAGTACAAATATAAGTATAATACAACATAAAAATACATATTTATTTTTTTATGCCCAAGTGATAGGATCAACTAGCCGTGCCCTTGGTGGTAAGCGACACGCCTGACCATAACAGTACCCTGAGAGATTTAAATCACAAAGATCTGAAGTCACCCTTCACCTAAGGGTGACAAAAGTTGACAAGTATAATTTCACTGGCACCCTTACCTTTCAAAACCAGAACGGTGTAACGTTCACATTACCGCTTAGCGGCAGGAATAAGTAAGATGGCTACTGCCATCCAGGGAAGTACTCTTCCCTGGACGAACTCTTTCACAAGGCACTCTACTGCTACTAAATTAGGTTTTGGGATATTAATCTTTGAAGCAATTTCTCTTACGTTTAGAATAGAAATTGCGAGTAACAAAGTTGCCTAAAGTCACAAATTTCAAATCATTTGCAGTAATATCCGAGAAGAACTTGCTGAACATATAAATGGACAACTAAGTCTCACCATAATAATTAAAATAAATTTACTAATTTCCAGGGATACTAAAAATTTAAATATGATACCTAAAAGTCTATCTTTTACTTTTGCTAGACTAGAAAACATGAAGAAAGTTTAACTTACAGTGCAAATTAAGCGACAAGGTGCTTTCAATAGTAGATCGATCAAGCTTCACGTGTGTGGCGCGGCATGTTAACACTCTTCCATCGTACTCCATAAGTGGCGTCCACCGTAGTATTGATATTGTTTCGTTTCGATCGTCTGAGTTCTGGAATAGATGAGAATGTTCTGGAATATTTTAAATATTCTAAGACTACATAAAGTGGGTTTTTTTCTTTCGATACTGAAAAGGACACAATCAAAGCAATTCTTTCATGTCCATATACATAAAGTATTTAACCCAATATTCTTTAATACGTCAATTTTGTGTGACTATACAGATATGGTATGAGCTGAGTAAGTAATAAATAATAATAAACTCTGATATACTGTGGAAATCCGATGACATTACAATAATATGATAACTTCGATCTGATACTGCAACCAGGATAGCATGCAGACTACCCAACTCCTCAACAACTTACAGTAGAATTATCATATTTGGGCACATTCATTGATCACGACGTGTTGTTAGCTTACAGATAGTGAATTTATGGACTCTTGGCGTACATTGATTTGAATCAGTGGAATTTTAAAATTTTAATTTTAGTGTTATTTATTGATTTTTACACTTCATTTTCAACACTTGTTAAACATTTTATTTAGAATCTAGAATGATGTTCTTTCATATAGAGACTTTGAAGACTAGCATTTGGACCCCTATGGAAATACCAGAATTAATATTATCTGGAAGAAAACAAGACGTTTAAATGTTCAAAAGTCGCTTTGCTAAGAGCACAAACAGGGATTTGCTTACCTTCTGATCTTCTACAACCTGTAGCTGCCGATCATCAAGCCACCAAGTGATGACGGCAGGAGGTCTGGCGCCTACTGCTCTGCAAGCTATCTCTGTTTCTCGGCCTACTGATAACGGCTGCTCCCTTTCTAGAATTTCAACTAGAAGTGGTCGCACTGGAGACAGAAAAAAAACAACAATTTGGTAATGGTTTCGTTATTACCTATTTTGAGTTGTATTGTTATTCCCATAAACAACATTCTAATAAAAAACACCCGTAAATATACAAAATACATACACAAAAAAATAAAGACGGACATCATTTGTTCCGGTGGTTTACTTCAAAATACTATTAACCACTATGAAACATTTTCATAGAATCTATATCTACCCTACCGTCAACAAATTCTTTGAAAACACTGAATACGTAGATTTTAAGCCGTATTAGACTCAAATTTATGTGAATTAGTCGTCGGCTTTAATTTTCGATTTGTGAAGTAGACGAGCCATTCTGTTGACCAATTAAATCCAAGTAATTACTCTAGCTCCCTTGGGTTTTCTATTGTTGATTTAGATGTCTATGAACAACTTGTTACAATTGAATCAAGTCAAAGATATTATCGACTGGACTTTGGATTTGATAGAAATATTAAACAATAATATCTTTATTATTGTTTAACATTTCTACGTTAAGCTTTTGAGACAACTGACTTATAATATATACTGTAATTATAATTATAATATGTTTATTGTAATATATATTGACTAAAAAATCGACATCTTCCACTGAAACTAACACGAACAACCAATTTTTCATGCCTAACATCGTATTAACTCTCAAATAGTAGTTATACCTTTTTAAAGTTGTGTGTGGAGAATTAAAACCATAGGGCTGCAGAGATGTAATGCGATGTCCAGTGCGGCGTTACTGCTAATTAACTCAAAATAGCACTTTGGTTTTAAATCTCTACACACAAGTTTAAAAAGGTAAATGATTTGAGGTTTAATCCGATGTTAGGTATGAAGAATTGGTTATTCGTGTTAGTTTCTGTGGAAGATGTCGATTTTACAGCCAATATAGGTTACAATATTCTCCAGAATTATAAGTCAGTAATTCCAGAAGCTTAACGTAGAAATAATAAATAACCGTACTTTCCTGCCAGTTTTCCCCCAAATGTAATAAAGTCCATTGCAGTAAAAACGGAAAGTCGAACGCCGCAAACGGTACGGGAACCCTCGGGGCTTAATTGAACTTAATTTGTTAATACCTCCGATCCGTAAGTACATCGTGCGAAATTACTCACAACATACTTGTCCAGTTTAATGCAAAATTCATGGTAACATAGAGACGTTTCGAATGTTTAGGCCGCAAACTGGACGACAGCGAGCAGCGGTGCGATGGCGACAGCGATGTGGGCGGCGCGGCGGCGCGGTTAAAATGGCCAGGGGTCTATTCTCGTTCTCCGTTCCATGTCCGTCCGAAACAATTACTGTCAGTTATTCGACCAAATGAAAAGACAGTGTTAAGTATGAAACTTCATTCGCATCATGCTTCCTTTTATTTGGTCGAGTGTTACTTCTTTGATAGTAATTTTTCGGACGGAGAACGAGACTACAGGGCCTGTTCTCGACGCTAGGGACCATCGCTTAGTTTGAGACCGTAAAGTGACGTTACGAGAGTGTGAGCGCGATATCGATATTGTGACGTGACCTTTATATAGTACCTAATTTTTTATTTAGCATGCATTGACTTAAGTACAAATAAATGGACGACGGGTCTAATACAAAAACCACGAAAAAAATGTCCCAAGTCAACCTATTCGACATTTAAATTGTAATGTCATCGCAGTATCGCGCTGTCAGTAGAACAAAGAAGACTAAAGCGGAGTGTGTCGCGCTCTGTATACGATTTTAGCGCCTTACAAGTGCGGACACTTTTTAGTGCCGACCCGACGTCCATATAATTGTAAGTTAATGTTAGCATGAGTTATTATGGGCGCAAGAAGACGTGAACCCGTGTACTACAAACAAAGAAAGCAAGCAGCGAGTGTCGCCGAAGATCAAGAACAAAATCCGGATAAGTTCTATGATAACGCTAAAATAACCGTGGAGACGTTTGATTATATTCTTGCAAATATCAAGTCAGAATAGGAAACAGACTATAATTTTATGAACAAATAGTATTCTTCTATGCGCTCTTCCCCTCTCTGGTAGCAAGATCATATTTTACAGTCTTCTTATTCAATGCCTCAAGTTAGAATGAAATATTTTCACAAGGCCAGTTTGGTTTTAACTCAGTAACCGAGTGCCTCAGAGCTAATGCCCTCACAAAACTAAATACATGACTTTCCCATACAATATCCCTCACAACCTCCTGAGGGCGCTTTATCAGTATTAACTCACCATTGTACAAGCTCTCTAACTCATGCAAGTCTCTGTGCTTGTGAAACACTGGACAGCACAAGCTACATCAAATATTTAGGTGTCATAATCGAACATCATCGTAATTTAAAACCATATTGTAGCGCTTACTTCTGGAGTTCGAAAATAAGAAATATGTTTTTAAAAATTTAACATATGCAGCTAGCAGCTCCCTTCTCAAATCAATGTATTTAGCTCTCTGCCAATCATTCACATAAATTTGCCCAAAAGGATGCCTAAAATACAGGTACATATTTACTTAGTTTAGGCATCGCTATTACACTTTAGGTTCTAATATTAAAATGTTATAGCTTTACTATGAAGATTGTACAATGTAGGTTCCTTTCTTAATGTTTATTTTAATACTATCGACTCATCCGTAGAATAAAGATCTATGTGCAAGACTACTTTGTTCTCAGGGCATAGTACATTTCGTTGGTTCTTCTTCACTGCGGATATCAGATCGACATTTGTTCGATTTCATATTTCCGTAAACGAAATAAGATATATAAATGCTCAAAACGCCTTTATATAGGCCTTAGTTTCAACGAAATTATTCTCCTAACGTACTTATTCTCTTTTCGATATATAATCACATCGGACTCTGTTCTTGGCATGAGTCGCTATAATAGCTTTATTTACATTTGTTTTCCTTGTATTGTATCAGATTCATTTATATTGAAATCTGGTTGGATTTACGCGCAAGACTAGATGCTTTATAGCATTAAAAATACTACTAAACATCTAACACCACCTCAAAAAATTATATCTGTCTCTTAAAGGCAGGCGTCCACAGATCCGCAACACACGCATCAGACGGATCGCATTATACGGATTTTAGTATTCTTTGTATAGAAGTTCATACAACTGCGTCCACTGATCCGCATCCCTCGGAGCGCACGCCAGGCCGGTGTCGGTAATGCCAATGGAGTTGCACGGGGGGCGACTTTTTCGATGCGTACCGACGACGTCATACGCCGAGTTGCGATCTCTTCAAAATGTGTCATGTATCCAGATATCATGTTTAGTATCCTTTCTTCTTCTGCCAACAAACAAGCTACCACGACAAATTGTTCTTCATCACTTTCCAAATCCATAGTCAACAAGTTAGACTCGTCCGCTCGCTACGAAAAGTGGCGTCGGCAATTCGATTGCTGCCGATATAGTGGACGCACTGCCACAAACGGAGCCGTTGCGATCCGTTCGACACGTGCGCTGCTGATCTGTGGACGCCTACCTTAAAACAGGTATTTTTTACGAAATTTTGAAGTTTTCTAATCTAAGTTACAATTTGTAAAAACGGGGTAAAAATAAAGTAGCTACCTACCGTCTAGTTTCAGCACTTAACTAATTTTCTTACGGTTTTAGGTTTTAGCAAAGGCAGAATATATGGGTCTCACGAATTACTCTAGTAAAATCGCTAATGAGAGTAACACGATTTTTGTAAAACAATATATTTATAGCAAGCAACCCCATTGATTATATTGCGGACTAAAAAAAGGTGTGAATAAAGGTGCTCAAATAGATACTATATAATATATTGATATAACCAATGCGTTCCACAGAGTGAACCATATTATTCTGTTATCAAATTACATGACTGCGGAATTCATGAATCATTTGGGACTGTCACAGGGTTCTCATCTGTGTCCAATGTTTTTTTATCGTATTAATCATAAATAATATTACTAACTGTATACGTTATTTTCAATACTTGGTATATCGCGATGACTTACTTATACAAGGTAATATACAGTCTTGAGGACGTTACATTTTAGAATTTGACGGCCGTGGCGCGGTGGCACAAGCACGTGAGGGTGCAAGCAAAGTAATATTATTAAATATTATTTTTAATGCAACCAAATAGGCTCGTATTAAGGTCACAAAAAACACATTATTGTTTCTTATATTTTGGACGATCAAGTCCTCAGTGCGTCAATAGAAGTGCGAATTTTGGGTATTGTGTTAAACGGCGTATTATATTTTACTGCAAACATACATAGATAGTCAATAAGTCATGGAAAATGTTAGTCCTTATAAAGCATACTTGCAAAAGTTTTACAAACTGAATGCAATGTTAACACACTACGGGTCGTATTCTAGAACTCTACTCAATCCTCAAGTCAGAATGTGAGTATGGTTTAAAGCACTCGAAATCATACTCAAGTCCCTGCCATTAGGGTTGTATTTCCAGTGCTTGAAATCATACTCATGTATTCTTGAATATGCCATTTCAGTTTGGAATTTGTTTATACAATCGATATAGATAGAATAGACAGCGTACAACGCACATTTCCTCGCTTTCTAGCATATTAGATTAAAATAGACAATGCTCTTTTTTTCTTCAAGCTTTTTCAATAGGTACGGAACCGCGAAAACAATGAATAGCGAAGGATAAAATATTTAGAATTATATTTGTAAAGTGATGCATTAGAAATTATATGTTATGTGAAACAAAAAACAGAACGTCATCAATTTAAATAAGCATTTAGGCGTTTCGCTTACTGCCTACGCAGTAAGCGAAACGCTTTTCGCTTAACGCTTAAAAGAAGTATGCAGGCAACGAATCCGACATATTTTCATATGTCATTCAGTACGTAACGAATATCGCTGAAGACGGATATAAGCAGCACTGATAATACCATTAATAAAGGGATATTTAGCTATGCCAATGTCGAAGAATGAATTGTAAAATATATTTTTATGTTACATTATGTTATTTGTCGTTTAAAACCGTAGTTATATGATAATGTGT